GGGAGGCATTCGTAGGTTTTTGCAATGAACCAGCTGAAACTATACTAGCTGATTTGAGATTTTGGCAAGGCCTGTTTCCTTGGTTTTTGTTGTAAGGTGATTGTTATGCGATCCAATTGCACTGGCTTCTTTGTCATGGGGCCTTAACTACATCAACATATATATTCTCCTTGTTAACCATGATTTTCCATGTCTAACCAAATCATTTTCTAATGTCAAAACAAAACAAAGGAATATTGTTATAGTCAGAACGATAACTAACATCAATTCTTATCTCATAGGAACTATTACAAATGCTATATTACTCTACTGGTAATATAAATAAGACACCCCATGTCCAAAATTTGCTTATGGCCAAATTCCTCATGTGGAATTAGCTAGCATATGTGTAGCACCCCTCTTTCTCTTTGGTCCTCACTTCATGTAGAGTACAATCTAAGGTGATATGAAGGGACAAGGATAATAACTTGGTCCTCACAATCCTAAACTTCCATGGTGGTATCAAACCTATAAACTATAACCACATATAGGACACATGGGCCAACAACTATTGGCCTTGAATAGGCTTGAGTTACTACATTCATCCCCTCCCCACCCTTTAAGAATTGACGCCCTTGGCAACTCACAACATATACACAACAGATGCCTATAACCCTTCCTCGGTACATAGATAGCCACTCTTAACCATCCACGGGCAATGTAAGAGTGCGCATTGTACCCCTCCACAGTCCATGTATAATGCAACACATGCAAATGCAGCGAGTGGTTGGATTGTAAGAAAATTGTCTATGTGAGGTGTTACATATGGTATTCAGAGCATTAACCCTCGCTACATGTGTGAGAGTTGCATTTTACATTTCCCATGGAGGGGTACATTGTGCAATATTGTATTGCCCATGGAGGGGTGGTCCTATGCATCTACTTTGTACGTGGTGAGCTGGCAAGGGCATCAGCCCTTCAGGAAAGTGAATGTAACACCATGGCGCATTAGTATCCTATAGTTGTTCATCGTTGTGGCCCATGTGTTTTTGTAGTTGGTGGGTTTAGTACCACATCGAAATCTTAGGAAGGTGAGGGACAACTTATAGTTCTTGGTCACTCCAAATTTAGCACCACTAGGTTAAACCTTTTGCATAAAGTAAGGACAAAAGTGTAAGAAAGGTGCTATGCTTATTGGGGCAATACCATGTTAGGACATAGGCCAGTTGCAATTTTTGGATAAAGTGTTATAGATGGTATTTAAAGCTAGTACCCTCACAACATGAGTTCTTGCCTATCATCCTAAGGGTGTTGTAGGGACCATGATGCCTAAGAGGGGGTTGAATTAGGCAACTTAAAACTATGGCCTCTGATACCTACTTATCAAAACCTATGCAAGATATATATCTAGATGTGCACTATGGTTCTAATCCAATAAACTAACCTAGCAATCTAGAATACGAAAGTAACACACAACCAAAGTCATGTAGGTAAATGTGGAAGTTTAAATGAGATAGAGAATGCAAACTCCTAGTGATGGTATTTTTCGTAGATATCAGGAAGCTCCTCATTCCACCTAATCCTCATTGGAGCCCCTCACAAGGATGCCATCACAAGTGCTAAGGTCTCGGTCGGGTAACTCCATGGATAGCCCTCAGGACTTTACCATGCACAACTAGGTCTTTAAGATGGCATGTTCTAGTCTGCTCCTCACCATTTTCACTATTGAGCTTCTAGCTAAAATGCCATGGGTTTCATTCGCTCCAATACAAGCTAGGCGGCCACACCACAGACACTGTTGGTGTGTTCTTGCTAGATTGCAAGCCCCTACTGTACAAGAATGGTGCGCAAGCACCAAATGGCAAAGAGGTATACAATCCTCACTACACTAAGCCTAAGCCTAAACCAAAGCGCCAACTAGGTGGTCTAACTAGCCTAAGCACTACACTAATCACCAAACATCAACATTGGCCAGCCATGGGCGTATATGTAGCCTCAACCCCAAATATAGCTATCGGGTTGGGGACTACACACTCGTAGTGATCACCAAAAAGCAAAGGTGACCCCACCAGAGTTTGTAGTGCATGTCACATCGACTAGTAGTTGAACTAGCCATTGCCATTCAGGCTCTTTCTATGGTGCACCACCAGGGGATTCTGGTGCCCTTTGGAACATTCTATAGAGCCTGTGGACAACACATGTTCTTCTGGTGCCTCTCTCCTATATATCACCAAAATTTTCTTATGAGCTTGAAAACCTTCTATACAAATTTAGTCTTTACTGCCAAACTATTAGCCTGTAGCTTAAGCTCCTATACTAGCCATCACTACACCACTAGAGAAATCCTGTAAGTGTAGGATAATCAGACCATAAGGGGTCTAGATCAACCTTATTCTTTGGTTTTCTACCAGCGACACCACCAAAGTTTTCTGGTGCTCCTTTACTGTTAGGTATCTTAACGACCCGTAGGTAAATCTGTAGGTATATGAATATCATTGTAGCTTTCACTCTTGAGTATTCTAAGGGTTATCAAATCCACAGGGAACATGTAGGTTTTACCTAAGGTTCTAGCTACATCCAAGTACACCAAGATAAAAGGTGTGGGTAGAGAGGATAAATGTGGGATAGAACTAAGTGAACGACTAGAATTGTTTGAAACTTGCTTACTTGGGGCACCGGCTTTAGCTTAGTGGGTACTAAGACCTATCTAGCCTATTACTCTACGTTGTACTCGAACATGGGGGATTAGAAAGAACGGACAGGGTTGTCACCATCTGCCGCCTACCCCTACAGGCCCATGGAGTACGAGGCAAACATTCGCCAACACTTGTTTTTGTGTTTTTCTTATATAATTCACCTGCGTGTAAATATTCACCATCACTTGTGGAATTCATTAGTTATTGACTTTGGTTCATTTTATGCAGGATTACTAATGGTAAAAATGGTATTTTTAGCATTGTCATCGCCATTGTGCACAAAACCATTAATCTAAGCCTATTGTCCCACAAAATCTTTTGTGTAGTAGTGCAAATGGCTATATTTCTTCATGTCTTCTCTCATATGAGATTCTTAGTCTTGATGTCTTGGACTATTTGCATATCTTCTCTAATCTTCATAGCATCTCCTAGTCTTTCCTTGAGGTGTTGATCACTTGATCTTCATGTTGCCATTTATCTAAGCCATCCTTGCATCCATTGAACTAGGATACTAGCCAACAACACTAGTCCAAATGATCATGTTACCATACAATCACAAATTGCCCCAAATGGTGCCATTTTTGTTACATGGGTCAACCCTTGAGGCGAGTGAAAGTAATACTCAAGCCCGCTAGTAGCCTATATAGTAGTTAGCCCTTGTGTCCCATGTGTCTTTGTAGTTTATGTGATTAGAGCCACATGGATGTTTAGTTGGATGAGGGCTAACATATAATCCTTGTTCCTCCAAACATAACACTGCACCTTTGGTCAACCCTTATACACAAAGCATGGACAAAAGTGTAAATAAGGCACTATGCATATGTGGGACCATTCCATGTGATGATCTTTAAGAAGATTTTGGACGCATGGTGTTATAATAAAGTTGTTGTAATATGCCGAGATTCCATATGGCTCTTGTACACTCTACACACTGAGTGAACAACACACTCTCACCAACTCATCTACGCTTTCGTTCTTGGCTTCTTGCTTCACATGAAAGGGCTTAATTGAGGATGGAGACATAGAGTTTAGAATCATTATATGTTGGTCTAACCCACCCTGAACAACCAAGGTGGCACTACAGCACCTCAATCTCACGTCAATATATAATACACGCCACCATGGGCAAAATTTAAACTAGGCCGGATGTCACAATCACATATTTAATTGTTGTACATGTAGTAGGGAAATTTTAAATACTATGCTTTGACTACTTACAAATATACTACGAGATTACATGGTTAATATATAATTACATGGAAGAGAGCCTTCGGAAAAAAATATCACTGCTACAAAAATATCGTATGGCCTTTAATTCTTACCTTCTTAGTACACCACATTTATGAAACTTGTATTGCATATTTGACACTCTAAACGCCATCAAATGAAAAAAAAAACTCAACAATAATATTGTAGATCTCATCGAGTTACTCGAGTACTATAACTTTGTTGTCGATTTTGTCTGTAACTGAGATTGTTTAATAGGTTTGAGAACTTATATTGCATATTTTAACATCTAAACTATATCAAATAAAAAGTAATAAACTACAAAGTTTTTGATATCGTTGAACTCTATAATTTTGGCATAAAGTCTGCATATGATTATTTTATATGAAAAGTTACAAACAATAATTTTGTGGGAACCAATATTCACTTAGGGTCATAGACATGAACTAGCAATGATCTAAAAGTATAGGTGGTAGCAATAACCAGAAATGAAATCCTACCTATCATTGCTAGTTAGGCTATCACTGCTAGTTATAGCCACGAACCGGTGGTGATACATTATCATTGCGGTTCCAAAGCAGCTGACAAAAATAGTCTGTAGTGCTATGTTTTTTTTATAGTGAATGAAGTTAGATAGAAATGCATGGATGCTCAATGTCCATGCAATCTTCACAATTAATTATCTTTTGGAAGTGAATTTGGACCACCCCAATAAAATATTTATTGGCCCTATACCCAGTCTTCTTTCAAGACAAAATTCTAGCGAGATTTGTTGGAAATACACTAGTAAAGATACAAATACGGCAAACAATGCGTTTTTTGTTCAATCTATTGAGCTTCAATAATGGATTTATTTATTTTAAATACATCAAGGAACTACTATTTCATTTTATGGATAGTATTGAACTCGTTTATTAACATTTATCTTAAGTACACAACACAACACAAGCTTCAAATACACTGCCACTCAGTGACAAGCGACCAGCAACATATATAATATACGTAGAAATTATGATACGAACACACATAATAACCGTTCAGACATATACACAATGTTAGACTGACACTTCGTGTTCTTATTTCCATTCTGATTGACTTCTAATGTCCACCAAGATCCTGTGTAGTATCATGAGAACTGTGGATCAACGACCGGCAAGGAAAGCTCCCAAGTGGACACACATGATCTACGGAATCGCCGGTTGGGGCAGTCCTTCCATCAGTATTTGTGAGTTTGCGAATCTCCTTGCCATGCACATCCTTGTACATTCCATCCCCTTCTATTTTATTTGGAGTACATGTACATGAATTGAGGACAATAATCCCGATGATCACAAACACTTTGATCTTCATTTGCATTTTTCGGTTGCCTGGCCTACATGTAGTTTGCATACGTCAGTCAATGCATTACTTCTAGCAGGCCCAAATTTGCGTCGATAATAATCTTATATCAACATAAGATGTGAAGTTGTGAACAATATGAAAGGTATATTCACTGAAACAAAATATGAAATAGTTACCCAAGGTTGAAATAGTCGATGGAGGAACTTCTAAATGCCTCTGCTTGCTTCTCTTGTACAAAATTCTGATATGAAGTTGTGCTACTTATAGGAGGGAAAAGTAGTACTATTGGATCGAACTGTTGAAAGTAAATCCCCAAATATGGAAATTAGATTCACCACTAATAAAGTTATCAGACAACTGAAAGTGGGTGAATTTTTTCAGAATTGACGTGTTATGGGTTAACAAAAATGGTAGACTTTCTTATATCATGTTTGGAGACACTATCAGTAAGGATTTGATGTTTTTGCTAAATTTTATAATAGGAGTGAGAAATCCTAGTATGGTAAAAGAAATTTGTTTTGTACCATTTGTTTGCTTGGTCAAAACAATGGTGTAACACCCTAAAATTTGTACTTTTGAGAAAAGGATTAAATGATTTATTTATGAATTTTTGTGCACATGAAATATAGGAAAAAATATATTTTTCATTATATTAAAATTCATCGTAAGTAGTAGCAACTTGGATGTGCATACGTGCCGGTGCATTTGATTTATTGCAATGGGTGGTTGAATCCAAAATTCAAAATGAATTCAAAATGCTTTTGAAAATGAATTTAAAAATGGCTTTGAAATAAAAGAAAAGAAAAGAAAAGGAGAATTGGAAAATAAAGAATTTTCAAAAGTTTGCAAAAGTTCAGTTTTGGAAACCTCCCAAAAGTTCTCATCTTGAAAAGTATATTTGAAACTATATTTAAATTTGAATTAAATTTGGTTTTGAAAATAGAAAACCTTATCTCCCGTGGCCCAGCCGGCTGCTCTCTCACCCCGCGGCCCAGTCCGCGCAGGCCTGCTTCCTTTTCTCTTGGCTTCGGCTTGAAGGCCTGCTTCGCCTTCCCGCTCTCGCACGGCCCATTCCCTCCTCTCTCCCGCAGGCGGCCCAAACGCAGCAACCGAGGCCCAGCAGCGCCCGCGCCTTGAGTCACCGATAGGTGGGCCCGCTCAGTCAGCGCCATCATCTTCCTCACGTCGCCGACCCGGACTCTGCTGTGGAGTCCGTCGCCGCCCCGTTCCACTCACCTTATGTATCACAGCATTTAGTCCACTTTAACAAGTAATTGGCAGCAACCATCGAAGCAATGCCCTTTTGTTGATGGGGAATAAACTTGATCAATGAAATTTGAATCCCACATACTTGAAATTGCCACGGCCTTGTAACTAGATGCATCACTGTAGCATGCATCACTGTAGCATGCAGCAAATGAATATTAAATATTACCACACTGCAGGCACTCCTTGCAACGCCTTCACAAATCTCTCACATAGCCACCTTTGATTATTAAGAATGCAAGCACTTAAGCAACAAGTCTTCGGCAACTCTTCGATATATAGCGCATCATTGTGCAAAACAAACTTGAATGCACTCTGTCAAACACTTTTATCAACTTTAACACCTGAATCACATAAATATTACACAATAAGAGTCCTCCAATCACTTTAGCTCTGAGTTCATTAGAGTATATTTAGAGATGATTTTGAACTCCATGCTTTGATCATGATGTTGTTCATCATTGTCTTGACCCTGGGGTAGTGACCGGATAGCCAGGGTAGGTATGAGAGGTTGCCGGCCGCTCTGCCGCCAGCTTCCTGCCCGTGGTGGCTGTGTTCAGGGGAGCAGCAGGGAGATGAGATAACAAAGAAGGGAGATGAGAACAAGATTGGTTGTAATTGCTTGATTTTATTCCTTAGTCACCACTGATTATAAAAGAGATTATAAGCTCTCCTAGCCTCTAGTTTGACTAATTGACTTCTTCCTTATTGCTAATTCAGGCACCGACATGATCTCCATGCATGTTCCTGCGCCTAACTCCTGTCTCCATGATCTCCTTGCCCTCTTCTTGCCTAACTAGCCCCTATTCCTACGCCTAGAGCAACTCCAGCAGGGCTCCTACATGTGACCCCATAGCTAAATATGGGGCTCAGACCAAAAATCCAACTCCAACAGGGCCCCTACTACGGACCACAAATTTGTGTGGGCACCCAAAACCTCCCACCAGACCCCATTCTTGTTGAACCAACACCCCCGACCCCATCCGGTCGCTCCTCCCCGCGCGCGTATGGACCTCTTCTCCACCACTGCTCGCGGCGCGTCCCCTTCCCCTCCGGAGAGCGCCACCCTTCGGCGAGCGCAGCCACCCGCCTCCCCGTGCGATGCTCCCTCCCCGGCGGCTAGATCCACGGAGGGCTCGGCCATGGCGCACTCCTCCCAGACATGGCGCACCTACTCACGGGCACGTTGCTCCGCCGCGCTGGAGCAGCGCAGTCGCGCCTCCCTTCTCGTGGCCCTGCTCGTCACCCAGTCCCGTCCTGCTCGCCCGACCGCCCCGTGCGACTGCCGGTGGGGCGCGTCCTCCACCGCCCGCCCCGCGCGCCGCCGTCGGCGGTCCTCCCCTGCCCGCTATGTGCAACAACAGGCGGCGTGTCCTCCCCGGCCCGGCCCACGTGGTGGCGCGCCCTCCCTCGCCCGCCCCGCTCGGTCTGCTCCTACCATCGTTGGAGAGGCCGGAGTGCCCTTCTTCCCCCAGGCCTGCTCTGCGTTGAGGCATGGAGGGAGGACTGAGGAGGAAGATGAGATAAGATTTCTTTCAATGACAGATGGGTCCCACTCCAAAGTGACTGTTGTTACACTTTTGCGGGCAATGGTTTGGGGGCTTCTGTTGGAGCAGATATAAAATAGGGCTCAACAAAAGTAGGGGAAGCAACCAAATTAGAAGTAGGGGCTCTGATTTGGGGCTCCTGCTGGAGTTGCTCTAATTATTCCGGCCATAACAATCATATTATTATTTAGTGTTGTCCAATTTAACTAGTTTGTTAGGACTTTACATGCTAGTTTGTAAGATTGACATGATTTATGTTCTGATTTTAATCTCAAAATTGGCTACTTTCTCAACACATGGAGCAGGGAGTCGGCCAACCCCCTAGGTCACCCGACCTCCTAAGTGCATGCCACCACCTCATCTTTGGACACTTGCAAGAAAGCACATTTTCAATCATCTCCCATGGCATAGATCCATGGTGCAGGCAGCTCTGGCTTCGACATGGTCGAGAGCGGGTGCAGATTCACGGTGGATGGATGCGGAAGGACAGCCCGCGCGCAGTATATAGAGCGGCCACCAACAGGGGCAATTGGGCGCGGGCGGGTGGTCCCTAGCATGGTGGCCGAGGGTTTGCAACTGCGTCGCGGTGTCCGAGCATGACGGTCCCGTGCAGGTAGCTACGGCGGTGTGGGACAGTGGGCTCATCGCCGCAGCCAAACATTGTTTTTTAGTATTATTATAAAAATATGTCACCACCGTCGTCGGTTGGGAATACAAACCGGTATTGATAATCACCACCGGTCCGGAACTGGCGGTGAAAGAGTGGTCTGTGTACTAGTGTATAGTGGTCTTCATTTTTGTTACTTCTTATTCGGAATATATTTCCATTGGTTTATAAACAAAATCAGTGTCATAGGTTCTACGATGTGATGGAAGGACCTTTTCCACTACATTAGCTTGACAAGACATTTGAAAATACATATCATTAGCAGTGGTCAGAATATTGTATTATGAGAATGAATTTCACCGTCGCAATTGATGAAATCTGAAAATGATTGATTTGTTCAGCTCGTTACAATGGTTACCGGAGCCAAAATGAGTCCTTTAGTACATCAATATAAATCCAGCGCTAGATCAACTTTTTGTCCATTTTTAGTTATATTGTTACCATTTTTATTTTCCTGAATCTCTGCAGCCACCTATAATTAAATTTTTTAGAAGGGATGGCAAAAGTTTTGCCATGATTACAAAGAAAATAAAAAATAAGTGTCGGTCCAGTTTTTTGAGTGGAAACCGAGCCTAAAAACCATCAACTATACGAGTGCACCACTCAACTACGTGCTCAACCTTGAGCCAACATGGTCGGAAAATGATCCTACTAGCAACTCGACTAACTAACCACTAGAGCAACTAAGTACAATTCCAACTAAGAAGGCAACTAGCAAAAACAATTTGGAGCAATGAGCACCACCACCCTTGGAGAAGCGCCATGGCAGACAGCTAGAGATCAATAGTAGAAATTGGATAGCCTAGCATAGCCTTCAGGAAGGAAACTACGCTAAGAGCGTCGACAAGCTAGCCCAACTAGGTAAGGTTTTCACTGGCAAAATCCAGTACGGTAGGAGGAGAGGTAGAAAAGGACACCTCCAAGAAGGTAATGGCATCCACAGACATCGTCATCCAAGCTTTCGCCCCGACCTCATGCACCCTCCAAACCGCCGCCACCGTCGGAGACCCAACCACCAGAGAGGTAGGATGTGGCGAGGGGTCAGTAGCAGCCTCCGTGCGACTGCGGGCCATAGGAACACTGTCCGGGAGAAGCGACGGGAGAAGCCCACCGGAGACTCCGCCCCCCGCCAGAACCGGCAAAGCCGGCCAGTAGCAGGCAGATCCAGGCAGCACCGCCACGAACGACAGCCCGAGCAAGGGAAAAGGTAGATGGCAGGGTGAAGAGGGCTGGAATGAGAAGAAGCCCCTGTTGCCCAGCCTAGCAACGTCCCAACCCCTGCCGAGCAATCCTAGCATCAACCAACGCCGCACAAGGCCTCCAGTAGCCCCCGCAACGAACTATCACCAAAGCCAACCGCCGGAGGAACCCTAGCGACCAGATCTAGGCGGCCGCTGCTATGCCCGAACCGACGCCACAGCCGCTGGACCCATCGCGCCACCGGCACACAGGACGCAGTGGGCACACCCCCACGCCGAGACGTGCGGCAGCCCGTGCCACCGCAGCCCACCCAGCTACGCACGGCGCCCGAGCCGCCACCATGAGCTCCACTGCCACAGCTCGGGCCGGTAGAGCCGGACCAATGGAACCGGCTGCCCTTCGAAGATCCGGCCAGGAGGGATGCAGATCCGGCCACACGGGACACAGATCCGGCCACTCGCGTGCAGAGCGGCGACCAGCCAAGCGGATCCGGCGCCCCCAAGAGCCGAAGCCCCAAATCTTGAGAGATGAGAGGGAGGAAGATGGGAGAGAGAGGATGTGCGGCCTAGCCTTGCCGCCACCCTCCTCACTGCTCGCCGGAGGTCCGGCAACCAGCTCCGGCGGCGGCAGAGGCCGCAGGCGCACTTGCGAGGACGCTGAGGCGAGGGTCAGGGAGCCACCTGAGTCGCCCGTCTCGGACGACGTGGGGGCTAGTCTGTTTCGTTGTACTATAACCCCCTATAATTAATTTGAAAATTTCAGGAAGTGCAATTTTTTCTTACTCTCCCACCCTCTTAATATTTCAGTTTTGGGGTAATAATTAGAATCCTCCCAATAAGTACTTCTATGTCTTGTGTCATAAGCCGGAATATAAGTGCATCCATTATTTACCTTAGCTTTCAAGTCATATCGGATTTATTTTCGCCACTTCCTTTTGTCGACACAATCTTTGTCAGTGGAGAATCCATCTTCCACAGCAGACTTTTACCCCCTATATATAAGTAGCCCATCACTTCTTGTTGTACCAAACAAAATTGCACAAAAGCCTTTCAGTTCAAGTAATTTGCTCAGATCTCAGTAAGTACCAAAATTTTCCTTTGTATTAAGAGATCCATTTTCCAGTTTTTGAGACAAATATTTACCTTACTTATGAGTCCCAATTACCTTGTATGTTTCATAAGGATTTGGAGTCACAACAATGAAGCTGGGCGTCTTCATCTTTGCTGCCCTGATTTTTATCAACTTGTGCACCTGCACGCCAAGGGACGACATGGCAAAGGATGGGTCTTACGGTACAACTGTGAAACCGGGGCAAATTCGGGCACTCATCGCTGCAACTGATGGGAGGAATGGACCTCCCAGCAATGATCACCAGTGCCCACTCGGGACTTACCCGAATTGTTAGGCCATGCATGTCTGAAAACACTGACGAACAGCTCAAGACGTTCATGGAAATTACACCCGTCTCTGCTGATGAGGGAGCATGAATATCATGAACGAAATATATATAGCACGCCCTAGGTTCCCGATGTAATTTTTCATGCTACTTTCTTGCCATGGATGGATGTATTGCCATCCTAAACAGTACTACTTGTTTTTATGCTTAATTATATACGTCACTGTATTATTTATGTATATATATAGAAAATTAGTTGATATTTTGAGTGTTGAATCATAACTGCTTAGATTAAGCGATTTATTCGAAGGCTCTATTGATTCTAGGCCTGTCCATAGATCTAGCAACCCACCCCTACCCATCCGATCCAAATCATATAATAAGCGCATTTGTCGGGTGGATCAAATAATCCATCTAATCCGCCTATACGGCTATACCCATCCATACACACCCCTGACAGATACTAGTATTAGGGTATCACATGGTTTTTCTACTTTTAAATCTGATGTACATTTCTTTTCCTTGCTCTATTTTTTATATTATGGTTTTTAATAAACATACTGTTGAGAACCAAAATTGTTTCCTATAGTCATGGTAATAAAAAAACATACATGGATCATCCAATTTAGAGTCCGGACGAAGAAAACATGTTTTAGGGGACCGTAACATCCTAAAATTTACATCATTTTTAAATAGGTAAATTGATTTAATTATGCTTAAGTGTGTGCATGTAATGTAGTAAATAATAAAGTTTTATGAAATTAAAATCAAATATAGGTCTACATACATGTATATGCATTCATGCTGCTGCATATTATTTTTGTATTGTGTGGGTTGAAATCAAATTTCAAATTGATTTGAAATTGTATTCAAAATTTGTTTGGAAATCGGTTTAGAAAATAGAAAAGGATTTTATTCTCCCTTCTCATTTTTGCACCGAACAGCCCAACGCGGCCTGCTCTCCTTTCCGCGCGGCCTACTCTCCATCGCGCTCTTGGGCCGTCCGCTCTCCTTGCTTCCTCGCGTGGCCCAGCAAAGCAAGCCCACAGGCCGGCCCGCATCGCCCGCGTCGTTCCCCGCTGCGCCGTTCCTCTCTCGCGCCGTGTGACGCTGACGGCCCGGCCCCACATGTCAGAAGCGTTGTCTTCCTCCTCGCGCGTGTTAGTCCCGGACTCCGCCGTGCCGCTCACGTCTCCTCCTTGTCGTGCCGCCCAAGCCAAATCACCCCCATAAATAGCGCCTGATCCCACACCGCCAACTTCCTATCTCGCCCCAACGCAGCCGCCTTGCAAAGAGCTAGCAGCAGCGCCGCTGTCGCCATTGAAGCGAGCCGC